CTTAAATGCACGTCACAAAGTGCACGAAGCCCATTTGAAAAGGCTGTGCGCTCGGTTCCCATCAAATAAACGCTGCTCTGGAAAAGGCAGAACTGTGGAGACAGTCAACGGTCCTATGTTTGCCAAGGGCTCACGAGGAGGGAGGGAGGAGTGGGCAGAGCAGAGGGGATTTTCAGGACAGAGAAACTCCTCTGTGTGCTGCTGTGACGGGGGATGTGTGTCGTCACACACCTGCCCAGACCTATGGAATGACAACTCCAAGAGTGAGCCGAGGTGAACTACGGACTCCGGGTGAGGACGACGTGTCTTGCTGGCTCATCAGCTGCAGTAAATGCACCACTCTGGAGGGGACCGGGTCATGAGGGACGGCATGGGTGGGGCGGGGGGCATATGGGAACTGTGCACTTTCCACTTAATTTTGCTGGTTACCTAAAACTGTGCTAAAAATATTAAGTCTCACACACACACACACACACACACACAGGTCACTCAACCACCCGAGTCTCAGTTTTCCTATCTGGAAAATGAGCGTGAAAACAGTTGCCCAGGCGTGCGTGGGCCGGGCGTGGCCCCGTGTGGAGGAAGGCACAGCTGGGACACGATTCCCATACGGGCTTCCTCAGCGCGGCCGCCTCCCAGGAAGCCTCTGACCTCTCCAGTCTACTCAGGAGCCTGCAGCTTCCCAGGCAGGTGCTGCTCCTACAGGCAGGGCCCCTGCTGGGCAGGCACCATAGCAGGAACACCAACAGATCAGAACACCCAAGGCAAAAGCACTAGGAGTCTAGAACCTCCTGCCCAGAGAACACCCCGCACCACCCTTCAGCCTTCTCAGTCTCTCCTTGAAGAACAGTGAGGAAGCCCAGGAACCGGGGGTCAGAAGGGGCCTGGATCTGGGCCAGCAGCGTGAGGTACGGGGTGCGTGGACAACGTGGTCACAGAAGGATGTGAAGACCACAGAGGGGCTGCGGGGAGAGGCTGGGTCAGAGCCACCCACCCACCTGGGATTAGATGGAACCTGAAGGAGGGAAGGAGACCAACCCCTCTCGGCAACAAACCAGACACCACCAGGCAGAGCCCGGCATCGGGGTGGCCCCGGGCAGCCTCGGCTGGGGATGCGGCAAAAGCCATGGGCCGCCTGCTGCAACCAGGAAGCCCCTGAGGTCCAAGGCAAGGGGTGCTGTGGGCTCTGATGGTGACTTGAGAGGAAAACGGGACTGAGACTGTGCTGGGTCCCAGCTCTCCCACGTCCTGTCAGGGTCCTTTTCACCATGAAGACCTGCCCTCGACAAGCACAGCTTGGCCGTCCAGACAGCAGGAATGGAGGTGCTGCGTGCGGAGGCCGAGGACAAAGACAGGGCAGTGGTGGGGAGCTGCCCTCCTCGCCCAGACCTACCCATGGTGGGGAATTGTCCTCGCTCGAACCTGCCCCGCATTCAGCGAGCAGACTCCAGCCCCAGCGACTACACAGCCTGGACACCACCATGGCATGGCCACACTCAGGCTGGACAGGGTCCAGCTCGGTGGCCTCTCCTCTGAGGGCTCCTGAGACTCAAGTCAGGCCCAGAGCATTTTACCCACAGACCACGCAGGAGAATGACAACTTGAAAGCAAATAGCTCGGAAAGATTTCCCAGAATTCCTGGGACCCAGGCCATCCCCACAGACAGACCATCCTACAGAACTGTTTGGGGGCTTCGGCAGTCAGGATTCTGCCTCTGAACTGTCCCCATGAGGAACAAACGATGCACTTAAATGGGATAACCAGAAGTGCAGACGTTCGGCACACGTAAATCTCAGGAGAGTATCGAATCGGAAGGAAGACAAGCATAAAAGTCTCTGATGATCCCGTAAGAAAGGAAGCACACACAGGCATCTGTTAAACATTTCATTATAAACAATGTCATTCTTAAGGCACACAGCTGCATTTCTCAGAGGCCAGTGGTTTAGAGTATGTTGTACTCCCCATCCATGGAGTTAAAAGCAAAACGCTCCGTGTTGTGTGATAAGAGTCAGAAACTGTCCACTCCAGTGTGAATATGCTGCTTTCAATCTCTACTGAACACAGTGCTGTTTTAACAAAGATGTGTGGTCAGAAAAGTAATTCCACAATAACTGTTCTCTAAATGAAAATGTGATGACTTTTTTCTTGATGTTAGTCATATGAAAAATGCTAATTTTACTACCAGTTGTTATCTTGAAATAATCATGAATAAAATAATGACCCGATAATCAAATTTCTGGCAACAGCTGTATCTTTGAAAAGACCTTCCTGAGTCAGAGGTTTAGACACAGCTTCAGTGAACGCTGGGCTGTGCGCGCGGAAGCTCAGGGGTGAATAACTCTGTATTTTAAACTGAGAGAGTGAATAAAGGCAGGCGCCCTGGTGCGTGGAGACGTATTTTCTCAGAAATCCCCTGGGCATGCTGTTTGGTGGGTGGGAAACAGCCGCTGTGTGGAGGTGTCTGGCTGTATCTCCAGACTCACACAGCAATAAACTGTGAGTGCACAGCATGCCTTTCAAACCACCTTTCTACACCCCCCATGATACCACAACCCCTTCCACGTACCCCCCTTCATTGCTCTTAAAGGATTCTCCACATGAGGTGTGGGGGGGCCGGGTGTGCACATGTCGGGGTGGAGGGGATGGTATCACGGACCAGGCTCGTCTTCCGAATGAGCATTTGTCCCTCTGCCGCATACAGCAGAACAAAAGGAGAGAGGAAATACTGGCTTAAAATGTTATATATAATTGGCAGAGCTTAATTTTTATGTGTTGACTACATGGAGAGGTCACATTCAGCCTGCGTTGACGGCGAATATTTTAGAGAATGTCAAATTTACTGAAGACTTCCTTGTTGAAGAAAAAAGAAAGCCATCAAATTAAATAGTGTTTAAATAAAACAGATATTGCTTTAGAAAACAACAACTGCAGGTGGTTTTGAAGTTATTAATGTTGGTAAAATAACATGCGAGTGGATGTTATTAATGCTGGTTTGAAGTTATTAATGCATTTGGTTTGAAGTTATTAATGCTGGTTTGAAGTTATTAATACTGGTGAAATCACATTTGTTGCATATCTGTCTAATATACAACATCCCCAAACAGCACCCTGGTTTGGTTGTAAAAACCGGGTTCCGGACATATTTGAGGAATTGCGTGTACCTCTTGCAACTACATTTTTCCAATTTGAACACTGTATACACACACCACTTATTTTCTGGTTATCCAGTTTTGTTTTAACCATACACACATTGACTTGGTTTAAAAAAGCAACATTCATTACTTGCAAGTACTTACTGTTGAGTAACTGCTGCAAATTGGGAGCAAGAATTAAACTTAGTAAAATAGTCCCTCACCGCCCCACCAGCCATTGGACTGTCCCCAGGAGCTAAAGCTTTCCCACAGCTGCAGCTGCTCCCAGTGAACCTCCCTGCCCTGGGCCACAAACCCTGTGAGAGGCTGGCGTCTCCTAACTGCTCTTCCGGAGAACCGTGTCATCCTGCGTATGAATGTATGAATGGCATGAGCGACAGACGACCCTGGCTGCGGAGGCCGGCACTTGTTGCTAAACGGCAAGCGTGATTCACCAAGCTGGAGAGCGTCCCACTGACTTGCTCTGTTTCATGAGCAAATTAAAGGCCACAACAGACCATTTTAACACTAAACCTCTGTGTGGAGAGGCACCGAGCTCTGGGAACAAAATTATGAATGAAACAGTCGATACCCACCTAAATATGGACAAACCAATAACAGCTTCCTATTGGCCACGCTCAGTCCTGTACAGAGTATAACATTTTAATGTAAGATATTTTGGTCATTTATAACAGGAACTTTTAAAGCTAGCAATCACCTAGACGCCTAAGCTAGTACATGCTTTTACTGACATTCTATTACATCAGAAAGAGGCTAGACAATACCATTTAAAGAGGTGCATATTTTTGCACGAGGTAAAGCAAAAGCAAAAAAAAAAAAAAAAATGTCAGCATAGTAAGGCAAGAAGCATGAAAAGAAAAACCCTCCCAAAACACACTTGACCATCATCCTGTGGACTGTGCAGGTGCCAGTCACTTGTTACAAAGTTCCCCACTGCTAAAGCCCTTTGTGGATGGTATAACCCCGAGACCTCGGGGATCGCAGAGACCCTCGTCAAAATGTGTGCACTCGGAAGCACTTTTCCTCTAAAATCTCAGCAGTTCCCATCACACTTAAAACCTGTCTCTTCAGACAGAACAGAGGACAGTCCACTCGGTCAGCTAAATCTTGGAATCTCTGCTTTTGAAGAGGTTGTTGGTCTTAATGACAAATATATGGCAGCACTTTGTGGCACCTCAGTCAAACATCTTCCCCCTTTTCTTTTTATCCTATTTGATGCGGCTGATAAGAAGCACCCAGTCTTTCACTGTACTCGGCATTACAAAAGAAGCCGTCTCCACAGGCTTCTCTCTCCATTGCTTGCATAGAAAAACACAGGTCTTAATAGCTGCAGGTCCCTGGATTTACTCATTCCCAAAGGAGTACTGAAACCAGCAGCCCGGCCGCTGCATCTTTGCTATAGCAAACGGAGAATAAGCTGGAACAGCTCCTGCATTACAAATTGCTCCGGTATTCGGTGATTATTGGAATAATGGTTAACTGAAGACTGAACTTGTCTCCTTAGAATTACAGCACCATAGTTCTGGGCTGCTGTACAAGAGCTTTTCCCCCAAAGCTTTCTGGCAATTAAGATGCTCCCTGGATTGCAGTCATCCTAGTCCCCCCCACCCCCAGCTGCTATCACAACGTCTATCAAGAGACGAGTGCTTTACTTATAAGAAAGGCACGACCTGCAGCCAGGAGGGAGGAGGGCAAGGGAAAAACATGCTGCCAAGTATGGAGGGAAAGCAGCTATCGGGATTAACTAGTTGAGTGCTACCAGCTGGTCACTGTCTACCTGATGCCACCGCACCAGGGAAGTGGATGTTCCAGGTACAGAAAGTCAGAAATGAGTCATCCTTGACTTACCGAGGAGAGCCTCCTGCCGCTCCGTCTGCAGCATCCAAACGCCGAGTGCAGGAGGCGTCTGGGCGGACGGGGAGACCTGCACTCAGGGAAGCTTGCACATCCTTGCAAGAGAAGCAGGCCAAGACGACCGAGCGTGCCTCCGAGGCTCCAGTCAGCCACAGCCTGGACCAGGCTGCCACGGAGCTCTGCAAACCAGGCACTGCAGCAGCGTGGCAGGCACAGGACTGCGATGCATGGCCCATATAGTCAAGCACAATAGAAAACATGGATCTGGAGTCGACTCCATGTGGATGTGGGGGCTGCTTGGTGCAGAGCAGGAGAGGCGAGCTCGTTCCTCGTAACAGAGTTAGCCATGGAGATGGACGCTTTAATTACCGCGCACTGCTCTCCCCCAGGATATCAATTACAGAAAGCAGGTGCCTCTATCTCCTGTTTTTTTTTTCAGATAAATGTCTATAATCTCATTTCACAAATGATCCCTATTTAGACAGGAGCCACCTATTGTGATGATATCATTTGCTCTAGTAGCCATAAATGGGCAACTTCCTAGGGAGCGTCACCGTGCTGACGACATGGGTCTTTATAAGAGTGAGTGGGCAGGGTGCTCGGAGGGCCCCGTCCCCACAGAGCAGCTCCTCCCGGCCACGTCTCGTGCTCCCTGGTGTCTGAAAAGTTCCAGAGGAGGAGGAAAGCCCTTCATGGAAATGGCTCAGTGCAACCTCCAAGAAAGTCCTCACCAGGGAGGGAGAGGGAAGGGAAGCAGTTTGGAGCTCGCTGCATCTGCAGCACAACCTGCCGCCCACGTGGGCCCCTGCTCCCTGGAAAACACCACAGGGACTCTCTGTGGCAGCGACAGTTTGGGGCCTTTTTGCTGCTGCTCTTCTTGGAAGTAGCGAGACTCCAGCTCTGCTCCCCCCGAGTCCACAGAGGTCTTACCCCGTAAAACACACGGCTGCAGTGGGGGATGCAGATGAGAAGGGGTGACAGGATCCTTCCACAACTCACGGTGGCAGAGTTCTCACTGTAAATTCTACCCGGCAGCAGCGGTTTTCCCTCAGTAAACGCACGGAAGAGACGATGAGCTGGGATTCACTTCTACACACACCTCAGCTTCCACTGCCCAAGCCTACAAAGGAAGCTGGTGGTAGAAACCACAGTCGGGCCCACGCTGGAGACAGCAAGGCAGGTGTTCGGGCATATTTTCATCATAAAATCTTCTAACATTTCCCTCAAGTATTCCAGTGACCCAAAGAGTTCACTTGGAACGGGCGGTGATTCCACCGAATGGCTCACCGTGAACAAGGCTGGCTGGCGACGCACAGCGCCAGGTCCACAGACCAAATCAGAGGAGAATCTTCCTGGAAAACAGACCTGGCGGAGGGTTCTTCATGCTGGAAAGGTGGAGGGTGCATCAGGGAATTTGCTCCTCTGCCCACCAGGGGAATTGCCATGGCTTTGCCCAACATAGAGAAGTATCCACAGTTCACCAATGCCTGTGTTTATTACACAACGTCAAAATATCAACACCTTGAAGGCCGGGAGACACACTCGGAACACAAGTAAGTCTCCTTCCCTCAGATGCCTTGACTGTGAGGGGCAGAGCCCACCTCCTCTTCCTCACCAGCACCCCAGGCTGCCCTGGCTGTGGCCTCCTGCCCCATCCCAGGCACACAGGGAGGCCAGGACGTGGACCCTGCAGGCTCCCCTCTGAGGTAAAGGTGGCCACAAGATGCCCTGAAATATGGGGCTGTCATCACTGAGGACATTACCGTCACCAGGAGTGACGGGATGAACAGCATATCCCACAATGCAGGGCCACTCAGATCTTCAGAATGGGATCTTATTCGGGAATGGGGTCTTTACAGATGTGATTAATTAAGGATCTTGAGGCACGGTCATCCTGGATTTAGAGCAGGCCCTAAATCTGATGATAGGCATCCTTTTAAGAAGAGACGCTCAGGACACAGAGACCCACAGAGAGAGGCGGCCGTGTGAAGCAGGGGCAGGGGGTGGTGACGCGCTTCCCCGGGCCTGGAACAGCAAGGACACAGCAGAGGGACCAAAGATGGAACCAAAGCCCTCAGGCTCCAGAGGGAACCCACCCTGCCCACACCTTGGTTTCAGGCTTCTGGACTCCAGAACTGCGAGAAAGTACATTTTTGTCACCTTCAGCCACCCGTCATATGACGGCGGCCACAGGAAACGGAGGCAGCCACGCACACCCTGAGGCTTTTCCAAGCACCCACTCCATGGTTCACATCTGACGCTGGAAACAGCTCGCATCTGACCCTGCGGAGGAACTCAAAGCCCCAGGCTCACGTCCTGAGATTCCGTTTCCAGCTCACCCAGCCATCCCGGCAACCGCTTGCTTGCTGTCAAGACGTCCTTGCTACCACTTTTCTGGCCCTCTAGAGCCCACTCATACCTCAAAACCACCAGCTGTTACTACCCCGATCCACGCCCCCAGGGCCACATAGAATGGCAATTTGCATTGTGGCCGCCCCTGGCTCTCTGCACTGCCCCATACGGTCGTCCCACAGCCCAACTGCCTTCTCAAGGGGCCTGTCTCCATCTGTCCTGGTGTTTCCTGTGGTCACCACTGCGCCCGCACAGACATGAAATTACCTCACCTGCCTCACCCACCTCAGCCTTCCCACAGGAAAGAGGCGGCCTTGGTCCAAGGAGGCTGACCACAGCGTATCTACCCACAAGCATTCACTAGGCATTGGTGACGTGGTGGGGACACAGGAGGGAGCAAACCAGACCAAAAGCCATGAACACACCACTGCCTCTAGGAAGCTCACAGCCTAATGGAGGGGAGAAGCTCACAGCCTAACAGAGGGGAGGCAACAGGCACTGAACAGCCCACACTCGCCACACACTAGCTCACAGCCTAATGGAGGGGAGAAGCTCAGAGCCTAATGGAGAGGAGGCAACAGGCATTGAACAGCCCACACTCGCCACACACCACGTGCACTGCTCGTTCAATCCTTCCACAGCCCCTGAGGCTGGAGTTCCTAGGGTCTCCGTCTCACGGAGGGAGAAACTGAGGCACAGAACTGAGAGAGGAGCCCAACACTTTGGGCTCAGGAGTGCAGCTCCAGAGCTGTGCTCCTAAGGAATATGCCTCCATGGAGAAGGCACGGAAGGTCCATGCCCAGGGGACGCAGGGGTCCCAGGAGGCCCTCAGGGATGGAGTATACTGGGACCCCGGGGGGTCAGTGGGGAGGGGATGAGGCCCAGCCAGTGATGGAGCCTCTCTCTGTAATTGAAGCCAAGAGGATCCAGGGCCCAAAGAGCGCTGTCACAGAGCCCCAGAGCAGAGAGCAGTGCTGCTGGCTTTAGGACTCCCACTGGACACAGAGACGGGAGAGCCTGAGGCTTATTCATTCACATGGGGGAGCCCTGGCAAATTCTGTTTATGTCTTCTCAGAAGCAGACGCTGCTACAGCCAACATCCAGCCCAAGGTACAGCCCTGAGATGCTAAATAAAGGTTGGCTGAATTGCATTCTACCTCGAGGTTCTAACACCAGTTTTGATTAGGTCTTTTGAGGTAGACACAGGTGGGTGTGGCCATCAAGAGAAACGAACACTCACAGGTGCCAGGGAGCTTACATGAAGTCACACCATAACGTGGTTCTTGATTCCTAACCCAATAATCTGGGGTGGGCCTCAAACATCACTTCTAAGATGGCTTGATCTTTATAGCTTGTCCATATAACATAACGCCAATCTGTCTTAAGAGGTGACAACCACAACTCTAATTTACCAACCACATAAATGACAACAGGTTAAACAACCTACTTGGTAGATGGCTATAAATGTGGATTTTAACCAGCCCTGATGAGCCAGGCTCCCCCTGCTCCCTCCAAGTTGATCTCCTCTTTGCCAACACAGTGCTCCCTATTGCTGAACCACATCAGCCAGCTAGGTCATTGCATGGCCCCTCGAGGCTGACCTGAGAATGGGTACATGGGCGAGTATTGGAAGCCACTCTCAGAGTTCCACTGATGACTGAACTGGACTGTGCAAAGCTTCGAACTCACATCACCCAGCATCTCACTGCGGAGCGTGGCCTGCAGCAGTCAGGTCGCCCATCGGAGCTGTGGCAGGTGCTGGGTTCCTACAGAAATTCAGGCTTATTCTCTCAGGGCCAAGTGAGTGACTATTTATTTGTAAAGCAACGTCTCAGTCCAAAAGAGGGTCTTTAGCAAAATGCTGAAATCAAGACCCACTGCTAGTCAAGTCGGCCACGCCCCCAGACCCACTGCCAGTCAAGCCGGCCACGCCCCCAGACCCGCTGCCAGTCAAGCCGGCCACGCCCCCAGACCCGCTGCCAGTCAAGCCGGCCACGCCCCCAGACCCGCTGCCAGTCAAGCCGGCCGCGCCCGTGGGGGAATCCACCCGCATGCAATCCCACATGATCCGCACTCGGGGATGCAGCAGGGCAGGGTAACATCTTTTCTTCTCAAAACTGTTACGTTCACCAGACGCAGACTATCCACAGAATGTTTTCCCAAAATCCTAGGTTCAGGTAGAGCCACAAATAAAGCAAAACAAGTGTTCTTGTTTTATGCAGCTTGATGTCTCTGGGTCCTAATATAAAATGAAGGAGTTAAGAACTGGAAAACGAGAGCCAGAAACTCAACATCTTTCTTTTTATTTCTCCAGCCTTAAACATCAAAGCTTCAACAAGTACTTTGTTTTGCTACATTAAATTAAAGATTATCTCCCTTTTGTTCTCTCGGTAACACATTTTAACCTCTGGTGTTAGTATCAATGAACATAGTCACAATTCTCAAAGATGAAAGGCCACAAGCTGTTCGCAAACAAATCTAATTCAGAGAAAATGACACCGGAGGTTTTCTTGTTTGCCTGGTCCCTGCTTACATCCTGCAGAAAGACTGCCAGTGTTCAGAATAGAGGTTTCTAATCTTCTTTCATAGATAGACATAAGAAATCAAGAGAGAGCACAGCCAGTAAGTTAGAGAGACAATAAACGAACAGCCGAATTCTTAGGCAGTGCCATTTATATCCATAGAAGGGAAGAACCATCAATTAAAGACTTAGCCGTTGTGTGCAGAACCCTAACGTGAATAACGATTTAGTAAAATGGAAAATACATGCAGCATCTGAATGTTTGGATTAACACGAACTGTACGTAATTCAAATTTACCTGTGTTAAAATTCCTGTTTCTTAATAACCTGTTAACACAGATGGCTAACTTCAATGTATGTAATTCAAATTTACCTGTGTTAAAGCTCCTGTTTCTTAATAACCTATGTTAACACAGACAGCTAACTTCAACGTGTCGTAACGGATGCATATCTCACGGGAACTGTGTGTCCTAGGGTAAAAAAGTATGCTCACACTGAAAGGGTTCACAGGTTTGAAAGGTAAAACTCTGCAGTAATACTTTTACAACTCAAAGTCATTTTCATGCAGAAAAATATGTATCTCACAGTAGTTTCTCAGACTGTGGGTGTGGATTATTCTCGTGGTCCGTGAGTTCTCGGGCTTAACAAAAACTGACAAACATGGTCTGTCTCTGTCTCTTTGAGGGGATTTATCGTTATGAAATTCTCACCTCCATATTTGGGTTGTATTCACTAGAAAATGAAGGCAGAGGATTAAGGGGGAATTGCTATTTACTGAGTTACCTACCAGGTACAATTAGAAATTCAGGGGCACAATTGCATGTACTCATTGCGGCTGGTCTGATGTAAGTGCTGGAATTCCCATTTTACAACTCAGGAAACTGAGACCAAAATTAAGAAACTTCTGGAGCGATTACCTGGCAGGGTCAGAATTCAAATCCAGCTCAATCTGACTCCAGAGCTGATGCTGACGGCAGCACAGTGCTAACGGCATCCCTGTATAAATCCACATTTTGGCACAGGTGTGTCAGTGTCCCGGCACCTTACAACTGGAGTCGTGTTTCATTACACACATTTTGCAAGTCATTAGTTGGAGTCCTGCTGGCTTAGGGGAAAAAATAAAATTTTCTTTACTAGCTCTACAGCAAACAAGAGACTAAAGAATGGCTCTTTGAAACACAGTTCCAAAACATGAAAAAAGTTGCAAAATTAAGACATGTAAATAAACAAACTAGGAAAAAGAGACGGGAATAATAGGAGAAAGCGGAAGTAAACCTGGACAGAGGACACGCAGAGCTAGAGGAATTCCACCCTCTGCCACACGCACGAACAGTCACGTGAAACTACAGGATGCCTTAGAGGAGCCACAGATGCCGCGAGTGGAAAGGCCCACGTGACCAGGCCCTTGTAAAAGTATTCCACACAACATACTCAACTGAGGTCGTTTGATCAAAAGTTATAACCAGAAACAAACAGTATGTTTTCCTAAAACAAGAATTACATTTTTCTCTAAAAACCCTCCACTGTTACACTGAATCACCTGAGGAAGTCATACAACTCAATGCTTACTCAGTCGTGAAATATTGCTACCTGGGAGCTACCAAGCCCTCTCTGCTCTCAACTCCCTGAGCTGCCTCCATAAGGAGCCACTTCCTGCATCTCAACATCCCCCAGGGCACACCAAGGTGACCGCAATCCAACCCGTGCAACCACTCTTTTCTGTAGCTGGCCAGGTATTATTATCCCTGACATCTGAAGATTGAGAAGAGGAGATCTATAGAGATTAAATATTGTGCACAAATCCTTGAAGTAAGAATCAGGATTCAAGCCCAGATGAGCCTGACTCAGATGCCCCTCTGCTGGCGAGGCCTCCTCAGTGGGATGAGCTGTGAATGCTCAGCATGGCCACGGTGCTGGTTGCGGATTCCTGGGCTATTACGGCAGGGGCTGCACCTCTAGAGCCTGCTTTGTGAAGCAGCTAGAAGACGGTGACCAACGGCCTACCCAACGGCTGTTTCCAGCATCCTATCCAGATGTCCAGCAGTGAGAAGGCGAGCGTCCTTGGCTTTAGACATTTGATGGAAAATATGAGTAGGGTAATGTAATAAATAGTCCACATGTAAAATCTCTTATAAGTAATGACTACAGAGCTTCAGTAGAAAAATATTTTATCTGACTCAAACAGTAAACCAGTTAAAGTCCTAACATATTCAGAGATAAGGAACCTAGATATCTTACTACGTTAATATTTAGAGCAGGAAGAAGAGACTTACAGCGGACGGATGACTCCAAATCACTATGACTCTGATTTGAAATGAAAAACAGAAAATCAATTTGCTAGTTTGATAAGTTGAAGCTACAGTTCTTAATGCACTCATCACTAAAATAGAGCTCATCAGGCCTAAACCACCAGCAAAAGGGCTTTATGTTTAGAGAATGTTATCACATAATCACACAATTGGACAATTAAGAAAAAGTGATCTCAAAACACATAGTATCCATCTTTACAAAATGTCTATTCCATAGCTTTTGCTCTAGGTAAAGTTTTTTAGAAAGTTGATCCTTATAAACATCTAAAATGTGCGTCATAATATGGAACTGTTCTCTGATCATGTGGGCTCAACATTTCTTGCTGTAGAAGTATATTCAATTTTCTACATGCAATTATTGCTTCATGAGGAAAAACTATTTTTGTGTGCCACTGTCTATGAAGGCTGTTATTATTTTGTTCTGGTGCTTTTTATAAAACAAACACAAAGCATTAATGAAAACAGTTGATAATAAAAAATGTTTAGATAAGTTACGGTTTTTCCTTACAATTTGATTGTTTGAGAATAATTTAGTCTCAGTCTCCAAGAGTTTTTTAAAATCTTGTACAATGCAATAGTATAACACTATAACAATGCAAAAACCATGAATCAAACATTCCAAATAATGTTAATTCATACTGAGAATACTGCTTTTCTTTATTTAAATTAAGTAGTCAATTGTTATCTGATCATTCCTAGGTACACAACTCAAGAGAGGGATGATAAATTACTGGGCATGTTTTATTTAATTTCTATACTAATAATGAATTCCATGGAAAATATAAGTATTTGCAGAAACATCATATATTCTAATATACAGTAAGTTAGACTATTTTAATGACAGCTCTTCTGTAAAAACTTATGTTGACATGATAGGAGCCTACAAAGCCGAAGAGTAATTGGCGACCACAAATCTCAGATGCTTTTAGCCAAGAGTAAAGTCCAAGTCATTTAATACAGACATTGAAACAGAGACACGAAATGTTTTAATATTGGGTTTGAGCATAGACATGACAGCGAATGACTTTTATGCATGGACCATGTGCCCATGCGTGTGTATGTGTGTGCATGCACATGCGTGTGTCCG